GAGCACCACTGTCAGTCGCCGCTACAGTCCCCGTGACGTTGCGGTCTTTCATGAGCCAGATGTATGCCTCGGCCACGTCTTCAACTGTACCAAATCGCCCCGTCGGGACCTTCTCTTCCACAGCTTTGACCATGGACTGTTTCTCATCCGACTTCATACCATCCCAAAGCTCAGTGTCAACGAATCCAGGAGCAACGACATTGACCCTCACAGGCTTCAATTCTACTGCTAGCTGCTTGACTACACTTTGCAGCCCACCAGCAAGAAAAGAGATCACTGACCAGCCAGGCGTCGACTTCTGCGCAGCACTACCGCTCGTGATAGTGAAGGATGATTCGTTGCTCTTCGGCAGATACCTTTCTGCAACTTTGGCGACCATCAAAGGCGCAACGAAACGCATTTGACAGGCGGCAAGAATCTGGTCGGGGGTGATGTCTTGCAGCATAATCAAGGAAGGCGTGTTTGCCGCCGTAAAGACGACGTGGTCGATGGGGCCGGCATGCTTGAAGACAGCCTCAATATTGGCTTCGGCGTCTGGTCCAGAGAGATCGGCTGCGAAACTCTGAATTTTCTGCTGCGAAGAAGAAGGAATGGCATTTTGCAGATATGTGACAGTAGCATTGAGCTTGGCTATAGATGAAGACGAAATTGTCACATTTGCTCCGCTAGCGAGAGAAGCTTCTGCGACGCCTAGACCAATGCTCGATGACCCGCCGATGACGAGAACATGCTTGCCTGCAAGTTTGTTGTATTTGGGAGTCATTGTCGCAGATAAATGATTAGTTTGGGGATGGGCTGATAGCTGCTGCGATGAAACTTCACGCTCAAGGGTGAACAGTGGTATTTGGTTCTAAGAAAAACGTCATATGCCTACAGTATGTCCACGGGGCTTTGAATTAGCTTTATACCTTTTTCCATGTCCTCTAAGGTAGTCGGAATCAAGCAGCGGTGATACGTACATACGTTGCTTCTGCCCTCACTCAATTCGTCATTAACCCCGCGTAAACCCCGAGCGTCCAGCTTCGTCCCAAATGATGAGTAGGTCGCATCATCCGATGGAGTTAAACTTAGCCGACCTTCTCTGAGTACATTAATCTGCTGATGGCTGTTGATCGCTGAGAAGTGATGTGCCTCGGAACGGACTTAAGAGGTGGTGGTAGGTTTCAAGTCCGGCCCGCGAATGCGGAATGACTACTACATGTCAGCTCGCCTCCAAAGACATCAATATTCGTGGTTTCATACTAGTACCGACTTCGAGGAACTTTTTACTAAAACCTGTCATCGATTTCTCATTGGAGATGTTGAATATGTTGAAATTGGCAACGTGACAGCTATCTAGCAAGGCCCACCTGTTGCTTAGAAGATGCACCTTGAGCGGGCATGTCATCTAACTGTATGTCGCCCACAACCCAGTCCTTAACATCTCTTGACGTGACCTTACCACTGCGTTCAACACAAACATCTCGCTGGACATGAATGCCATCCTCGGAGTGAATACCGCCTTCATTCTTTGCAGCGCCATTGCCGTTCACATACAACCCGTCAGTAGAGCCCTGCAGGCTATTGCTGTCTTCGAGGCGCTCAAACGAGCCGTCAAGATCATCCTGTTCCTTCGATCGCTTCATATGACCACCGCGATTGGAAATCTTGCCAATTGTGACGAGAGTATTGAAGTTCTTGGAGGCCGAGGACTTCCCCTGCCCGTCAGGGCCCTTCTTCCTGGCTGAACGGGAGCCATACCGTTCCCCCGAACTAACGACGCTAACAACCCCACCAAGCCAACGCCGGAAAAGCGGTGCGCATGGCGGGAGACAGGCTCCAATTATAGCTAGGCAAGTTTCCACGGCGGATGCAGCGTGAGGTATAATGACCGTTTGACTGATGTTGTTTCCAGTGGTCCCTTGGCCAGGGCGATAGATGGCGAATAGTATGAGACGTGCGACGGATGCGAGCACGACACTGTTCGAACAATTCGTGTTAGTCATTGTCGCTCTATGGCTTCAAGGTGAGGGTTGAGTCAACTTACCTGCCTCCTAAGAGGAAGACACCACTGATAGCAAGCTTTTTCTCCCTCCCCATTTGTAGTGCCCAGACTTCGCGAATGGGAAGCACGACCGTAAGGATGTCGAAGATAATGTTCGGAACTGTAATTCCGATGAAGAAATTGCTCGAGTTGATACATGTTCCATCGATGGTTCGATCCCAAAAGCGAGGGATCGGGGTACAAGAAAAGACTGTACAGCGGCGTCAATAAAAAAGCGGCCTCACTCATCTATATCTCGTTGTCATTTTTTACTTACTGCTGACCATAATAACGGCAATACACCATCCAACAAGCATGGCAGTGATAGCCCAAATGCTATATCGAAGCATTTTGGACGCGGAGAAGATCCTGTAGAACATCGCGAGAACTGCCATCTTGGACAGCGGACATGCGATAGCATATTGAATTTCCAAGACGAGGATACACTTTAAATTTGTAAGTCAACATTTAGCAGTTGGCACACATTCGTGGGAAAGCTTTGTGGTAGCCACATGTCCTTAATGATCTTTCAAAGAGCGAAATGCCATACCTTCAAGAATGCTGAAACACCACCTGGATAGAATTCCACTATTTGATTGACATCTGTTCCGAGGCCGTACTCTACGGCTGCGAAGCTTTGTCAGTACAACGGTGCGACGATGGGGCAGGCGCAGGGGACTTTGGGCCGGGACAGTAGGGGTTGCGCGTGAACTGCAAGCAATAACTTACAGATCCCTTCAGTAATCAGCATAATGTGATTGGCAATCTATAAATTTCATCCATCAGCGACAGAAGGCTCTCAACGCTACGAGTGCTTTGGAACATCGGTTCTCTCACCAGTGCTACGATGGCGACATGTTCGTCGAAAGTCCATGGCGACTTGGCTACAACTCTAGTGACATAGAGTCGCATGCCAACCAAGACGGTTGCCAGAACACTGAAAACAGCATGAGGCACAATTAGGACCCTTGCGATATTTTCTGCAGAAGAATATGTGACGTCCGACATATCGTGCTTTGTGACGGGCCTGGCGCAACTTGTCCGTCGGGAAAGGAGTTTACCGAATGCCAGTTGAAAGCACCGTCAAGGAGCGGTGAGAATTTTGTAAGTAAAAATGATATAAACGTATTGTTAGCACAGATTGAAACTGAAAACTAATCGGAAAAGGGCCTTTCTTTTGCTGAACTGCGCTGTTAGCGAGTATAATTCCGCAATCATACCGGCGTTGCGCGCGGAGCTGCGCCGTTCGATCCGGTACCTGGGACCCATGTCTTCCACCCTTGACTCCATTCGTCACGATACCGCGATCCGTGGGCCGCACCACAATAAATCTTCACGATGCCGCATGTAATCGTTCATCCCGAGTCAAGCAAACTCTCTTTCTCAAAGCTCGGAACAACAAATTTTCTGGCGTTGCCAGAGTTATTATCTATCTGGCCGGTCCCTAAAATCTCGGTGTTTCCTGATTGATTAACAGATTCCATCTAAGTGGTCGCGAACCAGAGCTAAGAGGAAAGATGAGGCTGTTGGTTGTTTAAAAACACCGAGTTGAAAGCGGCCCCTTACCAATGGTTGGGCGTTGTTTCTCGCGTTATCCCCATAATTGAAGGTGGTCGCTACTGCGGGTTCGTCCATTCGAAGAAATGCCACATTGCAACGGATCATTAAGCGACTCTCCTGTCCCACCACGTCTACAAGGTTAAGACTAATGGAAGTTTGGGACCCGTCCATAAGATGATCAACATTTCCCTCACATCTCTATCTTGAGTCATATTTGTCTGCCCGAGCAACAAGACCGAACACTTGCAGGAATTGAATTGTAAAAGTCACAAAGACACGTTTTCGATTCAGCTCAAACTCTCCATCAACAAGGAAAACAACGTGGCTTGGAAGCACAATGGCAGCAGTATCACACGAATCCAGATCTTTGGGCATTGTTTTTGCCCACGGGGGCTTCCACCTCCCCGCTTGTTTTGACCTCGCCAAAGCTCGGCTCGAGAAGGCCGGGTTTTCTCCAGTTGTTGCTGTCCGCCATCCCAGTGTTGGGATCGATCCCAAAATCACCGTTGACGACGATGCCCGGAACATCCAAGCCGAAATTGCCCCCTACTTGGAACAGGGCAAAGAGTTCCTTGCGTTGGCGCATTCATATGGCGGAAGCCCCTTGACCATCGCAGCCAAAGGTCACTCGGTCAAGGAAAGAGCAACCCAGGGTCTCAAGGGCGGCATCCGAGCCATCATTTTCGTTACAGCCAACATGCCCCCCAAGGCTGGCGCCAGCGCACTGAGCGTGCTGCCCCCTGGCTTGGATATTGTCGACATCGCTGATGGCCTGGTGATGGCAAACGCCAAGGCCAAGGCCGCGTTCTACGGCCCTGACATGGACGACAAGTTGGCCGATCAGTGCATGGCGACATTGTTGCCGCAGTCGCAAGAGGCTCTCTTGGGTCCGGCGTCTGTCGGTTCGGAGGAATTAACGGTTCCCGTTTACTACATCCTTTGCGAGAAAGACCAGACAATATCTCCAGCCACACAAGAGCAAATCATCTCGACAATTCCGACGCTTAAGAGAGTTCTGAGAAATCCTGGTGGACATTCGGCCTTTATTACTGAGGTGGAAAAGTTTGTTGAGCAGATCAATGAGATTGCGGATGAGGTGGAGAAAGATCTCTAAAGGTTGTGCTTTCAGTTGAAGGTCATTTCGGCAATGCCAGCCGTTGCTTAAGAATCAAATGTTCCAGGGGCCTGGCATCCGTTTGAAGAGTAGCAATCATATCAAATACCCCTTTCCGACTCTCCCAGTCCATTTCAGGCATCTTCAAGACGTATGCACAAACGCATATGGACTTTTCGCACGAAGACTGACTTGGGATGAAGACTACATGTATCTTCGAACAATCACGCACTATCACTATCTAACGACACGTGCAGGCCGGTTCTCGAAATTGAAGCACTGGGTCCTACATAAACTATCGACTCATGAAATCAACCCTTTTTTAAAGGCCTCCATGATTTGCTTGAATAACTCGTCAGAGTCAGGTCCGACAGGCGTGGCCGCTTCCATCGCCCGATGACAGTCCTCAGGTGTGTATATCAACGTCTGATTGATATACATCTTGGCCTGCTTCGCCGGCTCCCCTGTAAGCCGTACTTTTCTTTCCCAACCACCCGTAATGACGGCTCCCCATGCGCCAAGATCAAGACAACAGTTATAGGATTCCTGCTTGTACTCGTAAAGAGGAAGTCCCAGGAGGTCTGCGGCGGCATTGTATCCCGAAACACGGCCAAGCTGAAGAGCGTGCTGGCAGGACATCAATGCATAGTGACCATCGTTGTCAGAAGCAGCACAAGCAGCATCTCCAGTAGCAAAAACGTGCTCTGATGATGTGGCACGCAGGTAGCGGTCGACGTGAAGGCGCGATAGCTTATCCTTGGGCCCATGGATCTTCTGCGTCAAAGGTGTTGCCCGCACTCCCGCGGTCCAAATGGTCGTCATAGTCTCGATTTTCTCGCCAGTAGCAAGCTGAACACCTCCTGAATCGACCGCTGTAATAGGCGAGGCGAGTCTGAGTTCTATGCCAAGCTCTTCCAGTGCTTGGGTGATGACAGGTCGAGGACCCGGTCCCAGCTCTGGACCAAGCACTCCCGCCGCCTCCACCAAGATAACTCGCGGATTCTGGATTGAACTCAGACGTTTGAGCAATTCTGTCGCTAGCTCAATTCCAGTGAAACCAGCGCCGCATACGACGACAGTGTCGCGAGCAGTGGTTGATGGATAGCTTCCAAGGCGGTTGAGATGCACTTCGAGTTTGACGGCGCCTTCCATCGAATCAACATCATGCGCATGCTGCTCAAGTCCAGATATTTGCTTTGGCCGAACAACCGAGCTTCCAGCTGCAAGAATGAGACGGTCATACGAGGCAAGATGCTCTGTGCCTGCGCTGGACCTATAAGAAACTGTGTGGGAGTGGACATCGATATCATCGACGCTACCATGGATGAATTCGATGCCGCATGCCTTGAATAGTGGTTCGAGATCCTGGCTCATGCTCGACGGATCCTCTTCGTAAAGTCGTGGTCGCATGACAAGAGATGGCTGTGGAGCTAAGACAGTGACTTTGAATGCTTCGGCCTGGCTGTGGATGTTGATGAGACGTTTGGCCGCAAGGGCACTCCAGACACCTGCGAATCCGGCCCCAACGATGACGATCCTGCCGGACATATTTGTATGAGAATGACTGCTGAAAGTTGAGGCTTACAGGAGACGATGAGGTTGCCGAGAAAAAGCTGTCATATGAGTGGGATTGTATGGGTTTTATGTACTTGATTAATCTCAAACCTGTCGCAGTCCGCAGATTCTCAGTATGCAATATTGCCAGCGTCAAGCCTCACGAGCACCTCCTGTTCGATAGGTACGGTTACTTACGATGGGCATTACTGTTCCCGCGTGCTCGTACGAACAAATCAGTTTCCGCATCTTCTCTCAGCGGATTCCCGTTGGGACGTCTCTGACTTCTCCCACGCTAATCTGCTTAGCTCCACGGCTTTGTCGCGAATGTGGTGGCCGGCTGACATCGGGTAACCGATTGACTTACAACGGGTCCCCGAATACCCGAGTCCCCGCAGCCGTCAAAACGGCCGGCGGACATCCGAACTTCTTCCTAACTTCAACTTCACAGACCCGCTGACACATCCACCGATGACCACCCCTGTCGCACCCGCTCATTCGAACGGCGCAGCATCTCGCTCCTCGCTAGCCTGTCTGCCGTGCCGCTCGAGACACTTGAAGTGCGACGGAAAACGACCTCATTGCGATAGATGTGCTGCCGCCGTGAAGGACTGCCAATATGCCCCATCACGCCGGGGCGGCTTGGATCGTGCAGCGCTTGCTGAACGAAGAAAGCGCCTTGCTGTCGCACATAGTGTCGGCAACAGCAGTTCCGAATCACCAACGAGTCTCCCGTCGCAGCAATCAACAGATTCACAGATATTCGGCCAAGACTCTCTTGCTGAGTTGAACCTTGAACTAAGTATTTTCGATGATGCTAGTCTCCAAAATCAAATTCCTACATCTTTTCCGCCCGCAAACTCGACTATACGACTAGATGATCTCGAGAACGACGCATTTATAAACGCATACTACACTAACTTCCACAAATTCCACCCGTTTCTTCTACCGCAGGAGCACTTTACGAGATTTCGTCAAGATCCTAACTGGATTGAACGACTCAGACCATTGATAAGCACTATGCATCTTGTAGGACACATTTACGCTACTAGAAAATGGTCTTCAGAGCTCCAAGATGACGTCGAAAGCCGGCTTTCTGAGCCAGCGCCGAACGACCCGGTCATTGCACAATGCCGGCTACTCTACTCGGTCGCCCTGTTCTGGTACAGCCATAAGTCCGAGGCTAAGCATCAGATGGACCTCGCAGTCCGTTTAGCCCTCGACCTGCAAATGTTCCAAAAAGAGTTCGCAGCAACTCATGGAGCCGAGTCTCCTGTGTTGATGGAATGCTGGAGGCGGACGTGGTGGATGCTGTACATCATCGATGCTTACTACGCTGGGACTCTCGGGACAATGAACTTCGCAGTCGTGGACGTAGACTCCAGCGTAGAACTACCCTGCACGGAGTCAGAATACGAATCTGGGGTAATTGCTATTCCTCGCCAAAGAATTTCAGGGATCATTTGCACTGAACTCACACTTCAAAGGACATCCCGGAACCGCAGACTCTCGAAGATTTCGACCTCCGCGAGTTCGCTTCGGAGGATACGTCCTACTCTTCCTTTGCGTACCTCATCGGCGCTGTAAGATGCGCTGCCCTAGCAATATCTACGACACCGAAGTTGGTTGCCAGAGAGGACTCTATGCGTATGATTGAAGAAGCAGACTCAATCATCGACGGCTGGTCATTACTGCTCCCAGAAGATCGTCGCCATGTCATGTCCAAAACCGGAGAGATTGATGAGCTAATGTTCCAGGCTCATCTCTTGGTCAACGTGTAAGATGAAGTTTTAAATCTTTTGTAAGGCTTGGATCAGCTGATATTCATCCGATGCGTCAGGGCAACCATCGGTTTACATCGACCTCTCTCAGACCTGAGATTCAATCCCGTAGAAGACATCTCTAGCTGTGCAAGGGAGCCTCCTCAAGAAAATCCCGAGACGGAACTTGTCAATGTGCATACCGTGAGAGTTCTTCGGGCAGTGCAAGCACAGGTGAGGCTATTAACGTTACCAACCGAACGGTTCCATCACACTCCATTCACCACCTGTATGATAAGTGAAGGTACATTGGCGCTGCTATCGGCCTGCAGTTTTCTACTCAAGGGAAAAGAGCTCGCTGTCGCGCGAGATCAGATCCGGATGACGATCGGTTGCCTCAAGACTTTGGGGCAAGTGTGGCCCAGAACAGCCAAGAACGTACGGGAGATCCAGACGATTGCTCAGCATGTACTTCGTCTCAAACCCAGGCTGAATGGGGAGAGGGCTGCCACAGATACTGCCGGAAGTCTTGCCGTGACTGATAAAGGCGATGCGGCGAATTCGAATTTCCAGACCAATATGTCAAGCGGCGAGAGTGAGGTGTTCGCCTCGCTGGGTACCATGGATGATGTTTGCAGGTGGTATAACATCGAGAGCATTGGTTTGTAGCTTTCACAGTGGGTGCAAAATGACATTTAGTTACCTTTAGAATGTCCTCAATGAGGGCAGTGTCAAAAGAAAACTTCGCTAGAGGATTTCCATGCGAAACTTAGTGGAAGTCCTCGACCGAGCAATTATCGAAAGCATTGGATGTCCACGTCGCACAGCTAACTGTGTAGGGTGAGACTTGGCACTCTTGAAATTGGATCTTTCATGATGCTGCTAAGTAACAAGATTCCAGTGTGTATACATCTACTAAAACTCAACGACGACTTTATGACCTCTACCCCTCTGTCGGGCACACTTCCAAGCTTGCTCCGCCTCTGTAAATGGGAATGACTTCACCGCCAGAGCTTTCAAGGCGCCCGCTTCAACCATCTCAGATGCCCTACATAGCCTCTCAGCATTGGGAGATACAATAAAGTACTTGTATCGCACTCCAGGCATTCTAAATGAATCTTCCGGTACGGCATCTCCGAGCGCCCAAGGAGGTGGTGGATCAGCGACAGTAATGATCATCCCATGCTCAGCCACGACCTTCCAGGCATCACTCAGGATACTCCCGCCAACTGCGTCGATGACAACATCCACACCACCAATTGTGGAGGCCCAGCCTGGGTCATTGTAATTCAAGACCTCGGCGCCTAGCTGCTTCAAGTTCTCGTGATTTCGCAGCGAAGCCAGCGCGATGACATGAGCGCCGGTAAGCTGAGTAACCAACTGAACCGCATTGACACCAACTGCGCCAGAAGCTCCAGTGACTAGGACTGTCATACCTGGAGTGATCTCTCCTTGGTCAATGATAGCCTCCCATGCCGTGAGCACTGGTATCGGAAGTGCTGCAGCCTCGAGATGAGAGATGCAAGTCGGTTTCGGAGCAACCTCGTCTGGTAAGCAGGCGACGTATTCAGCTTGGCATTGTCCACGGTCTGCCGATGTGAATGCATAGACATCTTGGCCGATGGAAAGGTTTCCGGTGTAGTCTGGGCCGAGTTCGGCGATGTTTCCTGATAGCTCGTGGCCGGGGATCCGGGATGCGGTTTCGTAAAGTTCGGGCCAGGTGAGTTCGTCGCCGGTGACTCCGGCAGCGTGAGCCCGAACCAGGATTTCGGCGCCTTCAGGTGAGGGTTTTGGCATGTTTGGATTGAGAATGATTTTGGGTGACATTTTGTCACCCATAATCTGGACCGCTTTCATCTTCTTCGTCATTGCGCCTTCAGAGCTGGTGTTGTTGCTCGGGTTTAGGGTCGCTGAACCAAGTGGGAACGAGAGGCAGGTGCTTTGAATGTGAACCGCTGTTTTGTGCTACAGAAAAGCACTTGTTGTATAGCGTGAGGTAGCTTCCGCGATTGTTTTCACCTGCGAATTCGGATACGATTCTGCTTGCTTTATCCCTTCAGCATTGGCTGATGCTCCTCCCGGGAACCCGTTCGGGCGGGAATTCGTTGACGGCGCTTGCGAGTACCCGCAAGTACGTACCACCCGCCCCGGGTATCCGTGAACTCGGGTATCCACTTCCCCGACGGCGGCGACGACCCGGGTCGGGCATCTGCAAAATGAAAGAATGGGATGAGCTAGCGAGAACTTCACTCATTATGTCCGGCGCCCGTGCTCAATTTATTTAATAAGAGTGTCTTCAAACCAATCTAGTTATTTTCACTTAAGTCGCACGACCAGGAGAAAGAAATTCAGCACTATAAATAAATCATCCTATAAATCGAATCGAAGAGACCGACAGCTAGGTCAGTTGAACGACACAAATACCTTTTACATGTGTTAATGATGATGAACTCAAGCATGACTCGACCCCGCGAAACAGTCAAAGTCCTTTATGACTACAAACTAGCAAACGCTGAGGGAAAATCCATAGTTGGCCTCGAAGTAACCTACCCGCCCAACGGTGCCACTCCTCCCCACCGACACGCAGGCGCCACTGTTGTGGTCCATGTCATCGAGGGAAAGCTTCTTAGTGGCATGAACGGGAATCCGCCCAAGGTATACGAGGAGGGGGAAAGCTTCATGGAGCTGCCTGGCTGTCATCACACGGTGGGAGAAAACCCTAGCAGCGAGAATCGTGCGGTACTTGTTGCAGTCTTCGTCGTGGATACTGAGGTCTTGAAGTCGGGCTACGACGGGCTTACGGTGCTAGACGAGGGGTATTGAAATCCGGTCTGGCAAGGCATAAATATCACATACAGGCAGGCTATGAGTTGGGTACTACTCCATGGCAAACCTTCTGAGAGGCATCGCTGTGCGCGGCGACAATCTCATTACAGTGGTCATGAAACGTGAAAATTAGGGGGAATAGTATACAGGCTGGTGCGGATCGTAAACGCTGCAATAACTGTCTCTCAAACAGCCCAGTAAATCTCAACCTTGACGCTCTCCACGTAATTGGCCCAGCCACCGAACCTCGCCTTGCCCCATACCGTGACCACATCTCCCAGCTTCAGATTGCGCACAAACTTTCCAGTCCCGGTGCCCTTGCCCCGACCTATCTCAGCTAATCGGTCGGCTTCGGGCGACTCTGGGTGGATGTCGTCGGTCCAAGACCACACCACCTCGTGGTCCATAAAGTCCCTGTTAGCAGTCTTGTTGGTTTGTATCTTGAGGTTCTCGAGTGGGTGCATAGCATGGGAGTAGGCAAGCTTCCCGTCGGCGGTCGCTAGGACGGGAGGATATATCGACTGAAGGCCGCAGGTGCACAGGTTCGTTTCGCTGATGGCGGCTGCCTCTTCGGACTCGCTATCCGAGCTTTCCGCTGCTGTCTTGCAGGATCCATCGCCTGTTTCGTTAATGCTTAGCAGGGTTTCGTACCACGAGCAGAAGGATAGCTTACAGGTACGCTCATTGTCAAACTTCTCCAAACCAGCCTCGAACCAGGACCAAGATCCTCGATAGGACCCACGATCGCCGTGTCCACCTCCCCAGCCCTGATCTTTACTCCGCAACTTGAAGACGATCTTCCGCACCGGGTGGGTCAGAGTGGGCGGCGCCTTCATGGATCCTGTGAAGTATTCTCTCGGGGCCTCGGAGACGATCTCGGTGGGGCTCGACGTGGGTTCGAGGAGCGTTAGGTTGCGGAGCGGCTCCGTAACGGGGGACCCATCACCCGACTTGGGCGGGAGCGGCGCGGTCTTGAATGCCGGACCGACCTTTTTGAAGTCGAGAAATCCGATGGGTGGACACCGCAGGATGAACTTGTTCTCGTCTCTGGTGGTGCCGACAACGCGGAGCGCGTCGCGGAGGGGCGTGACTGCGTGGTAGATGCTGGCTTCGGAATGCGGCCAGTATTCGGCCTGATCGATGATGAGGTCTAGGATTTCGGGAGGGAAGTTGAAGGCCCTTTCGAGCATGACGCGGACGACGATGACATCGACGTGCGAGGGCTTGTAGTTTCCGGGTTCCTGCGGGCTTGGCCCGGAATGGTCGTCGTGGGTGTCTGATTGCATGATGCCGACGGCTCTAGCGATGATGGCACCGGCTGCTACTGTTGCAAAGGTTCCGGCGTATTGTTGGAATTGGGAGAAGAAAGACATGTACGGATACACGGGAGGAGTAATCTGAGGAATTTAGAAAGAGGAATGGTGGGAAGAGGGGTAAGAAGATGTGAAGGCGCCGGTTTCGTAGGGATCTCGTGGTTGTGGTACAACAGTACGTGTGGAGGCGACGTCAGCTCATGGCAACTTCAAAGGTTCATTTCGGGGTCGGTGCACGGAGGCCTGCAGCTTTAAATTGACGTCAGTGGGGATATGGATCTGATAGTGGGGTTGCGAAATGTCACTGACAGGACCCCTGCTCGATGCGATAAGCTGTTCTTATCGATTGTTATCACGTGAAATTACACCATCGTTAGCCACTGACTGAAGACAATGGGTCGTCACCGAAGGAGCTCCCGCTTACAAACCGAGAGCCGATGGCGTCGATATTTCTGTCGCAAGTGACCTGAAAGATGGTCCCAGACCTTTCATAATTCCCAATTGCCAGTTTTTTGTCAGTATTGGTTGTGATGAAGTGCCAAAGAATCGCCTCGCAGGCCCTTCGCCAGGCTCGCGCACCAGCGTCGCGCGTCCAAGCTCCCTCCGTTTTCCGGAGCTCCAAAGCCGCGGCGGCTGCTCCTCTTGGCAACCGACAATGCGCCCACCAATTCCACTCCAAGCCGGCGCGGAAGGCTTCGAACAGCCCCGGCGATGCGTCGAATCCGGCAATGGCATTTCCATGCCTTGACGCCCTCGAGAACCGATCCGCGAGCCTCGAAGCACGGTACGAATCGAGCGGCCCCGAGCCGTCTTATACCGCCGGCGCGACAGAAGTATACCACTGCAAGGACCCTCTCCTGCTCGACTGGGGCGGTGTTCTACCTGAATTCGACATCGCATATGAATCGTGGGGCAAGATGAACGCCGACAAGTCCAACGTCATTCTTTTGCACACTGGCCTCTCGGCGTCGTCTCACGCGCATTCGACAGAGAGCAACCCCAACCCCGGTTGGTGGGAGAAGTTCATCGGACCGGGGTTGGCTTTGGATACCGATAAATACCACGTCATCTGCACAAACGTAATAGGAGGCTGCTACGGCTCAACAGGACCGAGCAGTATCGACCCAGCAGACGGACAGCGGTACGCGACAAGATTTCCCATCTTGACTATGGAGGACATGGTGCGCGCGCAGTTCCGCCTCCTCGACGGCCTCGGCGTAGACAAGCTCTACGCCAGCGTCGGCTCGAGCATGGGCGGCATGCAATCGCTCGGCGCAGGCGTCCTCTTCCCGGACCGCGTCGGCCGGATCGTCTCCATCAGCGGCTGCGCCCGATCACACCCCTACAGCATCGCGATGCGCCACACGCAGCGGCAGGTGCTGATGATGGATCCGAACTGGAACAGAGGATTCTACTACGGCAGGGTGCCGCCGCACGCGGGAATGAAGCTCGCGCGCGAGATCGCGACTGTCACGTATCGGTCGGGACCGGAGTGGGAGCAGAGGTTCGGCAGGCGGAGGGCGGACCCAAGCAAGCCGCCTGCGCTGTGCCCTGATTTCTTGATCGAGACGTACCTCGACCACGCGGGTGAGAAGTTCTGCTTGACGTATGATCCGAACAGTTTGCTGTATGTCAGCAAGGCGATGGATCTTTTCGATTTAGGGAGAGAGAACCAGGTCGCTGCCAACGCTAGGAGGGCAGAGCGCGAGAAGCTTCTGCAATCTGGAGAGTCGCCAGCGCGCAACGATGCCGCCTGCAGTCTTACGCTGCCCGAGAAGCCCTATGTGGAGCAGCCAGAGTCCAACGCCGGCGCGGCAGATCAACCGGTCGAAATGTCCTCCCGGCCGCCTGAAGACCTCATTGCCGGCCTTGCGCCTTTGAGAGACACTCCTGCTCTCGTGATTGGTGTGGCGAGTGACATCCTCTTCCCCGCGTGGCAGCAGAGGGAAGTGGCCGAGGCATTGAAGCTCGCAGGTAACAGGAACGTTGCGCACTACGAGCTTAGTGAGGAAATGAGCTTCTTTGGGCACGACACGTTCTTGTTGGATCTCAAGAACATTGGTGGAAACTTGAAGAATTTCCTAGGATAAATCAGCCAAGGGGAGACCAGCGGTCCAGCGAACGGGAACATGTAAAAGGTTGTTGGAGTTGAGGTAAATTTACTGCACGAAATATGTCTATGGGGAATGTTTGACTTGCATATGTAGCCATGTACAGCATCCAGGCAGGAAAAGCATTGACGATTATAAATCTTTGGATTGGTTCTCTTGGTCTGCGGGCTTCCTGTGTAGCCGACACTCGATCTTCTGTCTCTTGTTCTGCTGATGCTGCCAAAAAAAAAAAAAAACTTACCTTGCTTGGGACGGACTTCGTCACAACGATACCTAAACGTACGCAAAAAAAGAGTTCACTACCGGTGTGGCTACATCTCCTGGCAATTATTATGGTGCTCACGCTGGGATCGTATGCGGACTCGAACTCGTAGCCAGTCGATTAGGCTATTAGGGGGTATTGTCGACCTTTTAACCATTTCACCACCCAGCCAGTTTGTCCTGACCAACCGACCTAGGAAGGCGCCTGCTGTTGCTGGTGACAGGAATGAGATTGAAGGGGTGTATATAGGCTCCTTGCGCAGTTCTAGTCATTTGATGTGGAAGCACCGGCCAGCCAGCACCTTCCAGTCAAGATAATGTGGCCCCCGGCAGGATGATACAGTATCGTGAGACCATTGCTCGTAGTGCAAGGCTCCATAGTATGAAGCAGGAAGGAGCTGGACTATAGACACCTCGCTTACCTCTACGCATCGTAGGCTAGATGCTAGAGCGGGTGTCTATCTGAAGTAAATAATGCGATGATCGAGGACCTAACGACGAGAGAACAGAGCAAAATAAAGGATTGAAACGGCGGGTGGGACCTAGCTATAGGCTTGCCAAGTGAGCATCAGGTACTTAGGTTTAAAACAGCCTCCGTTGATCAACGGCTAGCGAGTCTCCGGGTTGTGCAGGGGTAAGCTCTCCACAACCCCGGTCAAAGCTCTTCCGGCAGGCACTAAGGTAAGTCGGAGGAAGCCCCGCCAATCCCATTCATTGGTCTGACGTCAATCAATTCATCTTCGTCAACACTCCACGACCATCTCAATGAAATGAGAGTCGCCGCACTCCTGTTTCGGCAAAGAGGTCTCAACCCGAGACTAAGAGCGAAGGATTTTCGATCGGCTCACATACGACCAGGCATTCCAAACGCACATCCAAGCATCATCGCCCGAACCATGTCGACGGTCACACTGAAAGACAGCGGTATCCAGGTCGAGCTGCCTAATGGCCTATCGGAAGACCAACTACTAGGTTTCCGACCATTTAACGTGTGAAGCTACTTCTAATGTTCTCCCTTCAAGAACGAGGAACAGCGCTGACTGTCAAGCTAGGATTGGGTCAAGGGCCTCAACAACTCCCTAAGCCTACAAGCCAAGAGCAAAGACCACCCATTCCACGAAGACCCCTACCGCCTACGCGGCATCACAGTTCAGGCCTTTGACATCTTTGGATCCGGCCGCGTCGGGTTCCTCAAGGTGAGGGCCGATGTCAAGAATGAGGCGGGAGAGGGTCTCCCAGCCAGCGTATTCCTTCGCGGACCCAGCGTCGGCATGCTGGTGATGCTCATCCCCGATGACGCCCCGCCCGACAGCGATGAGCGGTACGTCGTGCTGACGGTACAGCCCCGCGTGCCGGTCGGTAGTCTCTCATTCGTTGAGCTACCCGCTGGCATGGTCGACGACAGCGGTAGCTTCGCAGGCGCGGCGGCAAAAGAGATCAAGGAGGAGCTTGGTCTAGAGATCCACGAATCGAAACTGACGTGCCTGAGCGAGCTGGCCGGCGCGGCCACATCATCTGGGAACGAAGCTGATGAGGGCCTGGCAGAGGCGATGTACCCCTCTGCCGGCGGCTGTGACGAGTTCGTGACGCTGTACAGCCACGAGAAGAGGATCCCTCGCGAGCAATTGAAGGAGTGGAGCGGCAAGCTGACTGGGCTGCGGGATCACGGGGAGAAGATCACGCTGAAGCTCGTGTCGATGAAGGATCTGTGGCGGGAGGGCGCGCGGGACGCAAAGTGTCTCGCGGCCGTGGCTCTTTGGGAGGGACTCCGGCGCGAGGGCAAGTTATGAGTTATGGCGGCACGATGAAAGGGGTAACGAGTGTCAGGCATGCAGCATCATCATAGCTTGAATTTCTTTGCTAACTCGATGCCTTCGGCAATGGTCCCCACGCGGGCATCGATGGCGTAGCCTTCCTTTTCCAGACGAACGCATTCTGCCCAAAAGTTGGAGAGCGGCACGGTGAAGACCTCGATGAATTCTCCTTCTTCCAGCTCGGCCTTTGGGTTTTGGTTCTCGGGGAGGGAGGTGTCGATGGTGACGTGGATCATGCGGAGGTTCGTGTTGCAGAAGCCGGGGTCTTGAAAGCAAACCGACGTGAGCTGCGCACGAGCTAAAGGGGATGAATGGGCCTAATGGAATATAACATACCATTGAACATGATGGGAGTGGTCTCAGACACTTTACCAACGTATCCCGTCTCCTCCTTGAGCTCGCGAACGGCAGCCTGCTCGGCCGTCTCGCCCTCGTCAACGAGTCCCGCGGGGACCTCGATGCAGATCTTGTCAATGGGCGGACGGTATTGCTTCTGGAGGATGATCTCGGGGCCGGTGGGCTTCTCGAGGATGGCGACGATGCCGACGCCGTCAATCTCGCCGTTCTTGGGGCGGGTGCGGCGCTCGGCGGATTCCCAGGTGCGAGCGTTACCGTTCTGGTCGTCGTAGTTGATCTTGATGAGCTTGATCCAGCGAGCCTCGCCCTCGCCCTGCGGTTCTATGGGTCAGATAGGGTACGGGATAGTAGATTGATTGGAATCAGCTGTGTTCGCTTACTAGAGGGCCGGTGGCGGTCACTTTGGCAGACATTGTGGACGTGTTGATGCTAACGTAAGGTACCTTAGACTTGGAGTTGGAGGAGAGGTGTCGGAGCTTCGGCGGCATGGCGGGGTAGCTTCTGTCACTGCCACCCTGGGCTGGCTGGTGCTCGCGACCCCGCGGTGGTCACCTCACTTAGTCATCACGCATCTCTTGCCTGCATAACGCTTTCCAATTGAGCATTCCTAAGGAGGCAGGAAGTGTATCAATTTCGAGCGACAGATGCTCGACTATAATCATCAAATAGGGCTTGCGTACCCTGTCCGCAACGTATGGTCGATAGAGACTTCTCCGAATAAGGCGTCCGGGCAGAATGTCGACCACTCATTCAGTCTCACTGCAAGGATCTTGGAGCGTCCAACAACAACATTAGCGACGTCTCTTCCGCCCTCTGAGACGTTCTGTCTTGCGATACAAGTTGAACAAGAGCGGCCTCGGTCCGAGAACGCTATCTTAGCCTCGTAAGGTAGCATTCTATGTCAACGTTCCTGGACGCGTCACCACATCAATCGCTAATAAGCTTTTGGCCACCGCCCCAAGTCTGGAGATGTCCCAGGGACCCCTGCGCGAAAGATACTCATCGGGTTGAATGGTCATGGACGTTTGGACGAACCTCCCATCCACAGATCGTCGGAGAGTCCTCGGAGAAAGCTTTCCGAAAGACTTATCCGAGAGGAAGAGAACGGGGGGGGAAACACGAGATCGTTATCGCTTCTGGAAGGGCACGCACGACGTCCAGGTCAACCAACGAGCAAACTTGCGTCTTCGGGCTTCTATTGCGCCGACGAGTGTAAGACGCACGAGGCCCTTGACGTTGCGTTCCCACCGCGACTAACTGCATGCGCTACGGTACCGGACTGGCCAACTTGGGCGGTCCACGACCAGGGTCCATTCCTCCGTATTACAGTTAAAGGCCGCCGACTGGTTAGCCACGCGACGCCTGCATCCCATTCATCGACCTTCCTCTCCGGGAAGGATTGACCAATTCATATCCCTCGGCACCGCACTTGGTGATACTTGAGACCCTGGCTTCAACGCAGACTTATACTTCTTCATACTTCCTTGAGACGTTCAATTTTTTTCTTTTGTCGGCTTCTTTGTCTTTTCGAAACACTCTTTTAGTCGTCACGGACGACATATGCTCCAAGATGGCACCCACTGAAGCATTAGACGACCGCAATGGCGACATCGAAAGCAGGCCTGAAGAAGAGACGCCGTTATTGTCACACGACTTGCCACCCACAGTCGCTCCGAGCCGTAGATACCAGCTAAAGGTCATTGGTCTGGCAATGACCTTTATTCTCATCGTCGAGGTTGGCGCCTATCTTCAGATCCCGCCTTCATATCAGCTCATGGAGGAAATTATCTGTCGCCAACGCTATCCCGACCACATCATCTCGGCCGAGGATGATGATGTATGCAAAGGGCCGGATGTACAAGGCCAGCTAGCCATGATTAAAGGCTGGCAGAACTCATTCGACTGCGTCCCATGTATGTCTCATCCTCAAACCCCAACTGTCAGCGCCGGCTAATTGTTGTATTTGCAGCTTTGCTCACTGCGATTCCCTACGGAGTTATCGCAGATAAGTATGGCCGCCGGCCAGTCCTATCTTTGGCCATGTTCGGTATCACGCTGGAGCTTGTCTGGATGCTGCTACCCCGTAGGTTATGAACATACCTCTTCTACCGGTAAACTTTGCTCATTGACGACAGTTCTGTGGCCCAACGTTCTCCCTCTTTGGACCATGTGGTTCGGAGCAGCTTTCCAATTCATAGGTGGAGGCGCAGGCATGATTCAAGCCATGACCTGGACCATGATCTCTGACGTCGTCCCCATTTCCAGCCTGTAGGGTTCGTCCATTGCCGGGATCACTCAATCAGACGCTCACGTATGATAGGACCGCAGTTTACTACAAGATTGGCGCAATCGCGCTTGCGGGAGAGCTTGTAGTTGCGCCTCTCAGCGCCTACCTTTTGAGCAAGAACCCATGGTTGCCTCTTAGCGTCGGCATGGTCCTCTTAATCATCGGCACATGTCTGCCGCCTTTCATCCCAGAAACCCTGGATCTCCGCCGCGCCGCCGATCAGGAGGTCGAGCAGACACTCTCGCGGTCCGAAGAAGACGCGAGGGACAAGCGCACGCTCAAGCAGCAGATCATATTTGCTGTGAAGAACGACATGGGCCATGTCTATACCTTTTTGATCAAGTCCAAGAGCGTGATTTCTCTTGTTCTCGGCTTCAACCTCACAGTCATAGTCAAGTATGTCAAGATAGACATCATGTCACAATACGTGCACAACTTGCTGGGCTGGTCTTGGGCAAAGGTGAGTCGATGTCGCGCCGTCTCAGTCACGCACCGTGCGGTTCGTATCTGACAAATCTCTGCGACACGCAGGCAACGCTCTTGGGAACCGTCTCAACGGTTACAAACATGGTCATGCTGCTCGCCATTCTCCCCGCGCTGAGCTGGCTGATCACCAAGCGTACGGGAGTGCATCCTCTGGTTCGGGACCTCTGGCTCACTCGAATGAGCGGCATCCTCCTGGCTGTCGGGTGCTTCATGGTGGCCATTGCATTCGCACCTTGGTTCTTAATCACTGGTATGTTTCCCCTCTTTACTAACCACCTGCATCGGGCTGGCTCTGCTCCTCAGACACCCGGATATGCTGACCTTTCGTATAGCCCTCATCATCTTCTCCATGGGAACCGTTTACACAAATATCTGCCGAGCCATCCTTAACGCCGTAGTCGAGCCGCACACGATCGGTACCCTAAACACGGCCATCACCTGGGTGGAACAAGTGAGCCTGCTGGTTTCGGCTCCGGTGATCTCGGGCTTGCTGAAAGCTGGCAACTCGGCAGGAGGCATATGGCTCGGTCTGCCGTATATGGCTGCGACTGTCATGGCTATTGCTGGTACTGTGATTGCGTTTGCCTATCGTTTGCCTAGAGACAAGATTCGATAGATGTCTACCTTGTTGTTGTCTAGAGGGATAGACGTCGATGCACGGAATACATGTCCATTATAATATAGAGAGATGTACATCCCGAATACAGTTATCTTCAATCTCTCTGTTTGAAAAGTACAAAGGGCAAATTCATTGAGATTAAAAAGCTGCTGCGAGTAAAGAAGGGAGATGGCAAGATTCGAGGTCATTGATAGATGGGAATCTACGCCCCGATGGACATTGACTGACCATACCAAGTTACCTTACCTGCCCGTATTCCCGGTCTTGGCCCGCGATGTCCGCCACCGCCGTAGGGCTCATCTGATAACGATAAGAGCTCCAAACGCCCGAGCACGACGCTGAGGGATGGCGGGGGTGGGGTCGCTGCATGATGTAACGGCGAAGCGAACCAACGACTTTTTTGTGAGTCTCCGGCGAGGCAGATAGCTGCCTCTTACCTACCATCCTCCCACTCTAGGCTACACTCGCACTTTGACCGAAACACAAACCTAGAGCCTCTCTTATAGTACGTGACAAATACCTCAGCCGCTTGTCGTACACTCCTCTCCCCTCGACGGTTAGATAGACTGCAACTCGCACCGCACGACCTGACTTTTTCTCCCCGCCATCCCTGCCCACCAACCCCGCCAATCTGCCCATCATAGGCCGCCGACGCCGCGAGAAACATCCCAAGGGCCGGCCCAACTCCAACCGGCCGCGCAAGAAGATGGGTAACGAGGAGTCGACGATGCTGGACGACAGCGTCCAGCCCAAGACGCTCGAGTCGCGCTCGCTGGAGGCCATTGCTGATTACATCAAATCCGGCGATGTGAAAAAGATTGCCGTCATGACCGGCGCCGGCATCTCCACAGCCGCTGGCAGTATGCGCTCTCCCTTGACGATTGAGACCAAATGTTTGCAAGTTTCTAACGCAATCGCTCCCAGTTCCCGACTTCAGATCTCCCGGCACCGGCCTCTACGCCAACTTAGCCCGCCTCAACCTCCCCTACGCCGAAGCCGTCTTCGACATCTCCTACTTCCGCAAGCACCCCGAGCCCTTCTACTACCTCGCCAAGGAGCTCTACCCGGGCAAATTCCACCCCACCGTCTCCCACGCCTTTATTGCCCTGCTCGCGAAAAAGGGTCTCCTGCAGATGAACTTTACACAAAACATCGACTGTCTCGAGAGACGCGCCGGCGTGCCGGACGACAAGATCATCGAGGCGCACGGCAGCTTCGCCACCCAGCGCTGCATCGAGTGCAAGGACCCCTTCCCCGCCGACCGGATGGAGAAGCACGTCCAGGACGAGAACGTGCCCAAGTGCGATTCCTGCGGCGGGCTCGTGAAGCCGGATATCGTCTTCTTTGGGGAGGCGCTGCCGGAGGCGTTCCGCGATAATACACACCTGCCCGCCGTGGCTGATTTGATTGTGGTCATGGGGACGAGTCTCTCGGTCTATCCCTTTGCTGGCCTGGCCGAGGCTTCGAAATCTGGCGTGCCGCGGTTGCTGCTCAACAGAGAACGGGTGGGACAGATGGGTCGCAGAGCGGATGACGTTGTTGAATTGGGGACGTGCGATGCTGGGGTCCGTAAGCTTGCTGCCCTGCTTGGCTGGGGCGATGAGCTAGAGGCGCTCTGGCGCGGTATCGTGGGCGAAAAGGAGGCCGAGAGGCAGCTTGCGTCAGCGGCTGGCGAACGCGAGGATGATTTGGAGGAGGAGATTCGGAGAGTTACCGAGGGCGTCGACACGGCGCTCAAGCTCGACGACAACAAGGACGAGGAAAAGGACGAGGAAAAGGACGAGGGTGCCACGGAAGATACCAAGGAAACGGAAGAAGTCGGCTTTCCTTTACGGCAAGACGGCGGAAGCGACACCGAGGACGCGCAGAAGAGCATCCCCGAGGGCGTCGTGCAGAGAATGTCAAAGGCGATCCAGGGGCAAGGGGGCGAGATTGGCACGGACATCAAGGACGATCGCGGCCGCGAGGGGAGAACCGTCAACGGATCCGAAGGCGCACCGCAGGACGCAAAGGACTTCCGGATCGAGGCCAAGAAGAAGATTCAGCTTGCGGCGCAGGGGGCGGCCACCCCTCTCGACGAGGTTGCCATCGTTTTCGACGCTTCTGCTCCTGTGGCTGAGATGAAGCACGAGGACCCCAAGAGCTCTGAGTTGCTGAGTGGGGTTTCTCGGTATGAGGAGACGACCGCGCCTGCTGCTGGTGTGGACAAGGAGTCGGCGGTGGGTGCGAAGGCTGAGTCGGCTTCTGCTTCTGCGACGGCACAAGAAGCCCCTGGGAGTGTAGAGAAAGAGGAGAAGTCTTCATCTGGTGATTCCAAGTTATGATCTTCCACCGACGATACCTACTCCTAGTCTCCTTTGAACATTACATCACACAGTCACAGCCGCACCTTAGATAGCGGTCAAGTCTTCTATATCTCGCTTATACCCACATCGCGGATTCGCGTTGGTTACACTCCATGCCTCTGTTTTCAAGTGGTATATGGATATCTATATCTCGTCCCTGTTCTGATCCGTTCTTCCACGTGTGTATGATGACTACTTATTAACGATCTTTGATTCCTAGACGTGTAAGGAAGACTTCTTGCGTTTCGATTTTAAGAAGAGAATAAAAACATCTAAAAAGGTCATCGATAGGGAATCGAACAAAAGGTCAAGTTGACAGTGGCTCGAGGACTTTCAAGTTAATACAAAGACCCCCCCATCACACCCCTCGGCCACCTTCCCCTGACCTTTTATGAATGGCCTGGATGTTTTCAGACCTAAGTACCTCTCACCCTCGTCCCAGGGAGTATTGACGACCTTCGAAGACCTTCAGCTGAAAGAGTGGAGCATCATCCAGCTTGGGCCAGCAAGTCATACACAACGGCCGGTCGAATTGAGTCGCGAATCAATATTCAACTTAGGTTATGGTTAGAGGCTTGATTATGTCCGATCGAATATTCTGGTCCTGGCGAAGCTCCCGCAAAATCTGCTTATTGCCTGGGCCAACACCCCTTCCGAAAGTGATATTCCATCCCACTCATTTTGACGCAACACCAATATCTAGAAGCACCCCAAAGCCCCCTAGCAACAAATCCAACGAGTACGAAACTTCGCATCACGTCTCAATATCCTCCATCGGCACCTCCTCCGGCTTCTTCAAACACGGCGTCTCGTCCCACATCCCGCTATAGCACCGGAACCACCCGTGCCCGCACCGCTGGTGGACAATCTTGGGCAGGAGTCGTAGGCACCGGATGTCCTGGTGCGAGTAAAGGAAGTGCCCGCGCTTCGTCTCGTAGTCGAGGCAAATCGATATCAGGAGCTTTCGGGAGTGCGCGTTGCGGCAGCCCTGGTTGGCGTTGATGGACTGCCGGCCGCCGTTGAAGTGGAAGAAGCTGTCTTGGCGTTCGCAGGAGGCTGGATCCCAGGAGCGGCAGCGAGTTTGGACTACGATGTAGTCGGCGGCGCAGGTTGCGAGAAAGATGGATAGGAGGAGGGCTAGGGTGAGGCGCATTGTGTTCGTTCCTGTCTTCCGTGCTTCACGGAATCTCCTCTGTTTGGTCGGTTGGAGGGCGGATACCCTTGTCCTGCTTTAACCAGTGTATTGGGTTTCAACGTCGGAAATTTGTTGGAGATCGGGGTACTTTTCTTACCTCAGTGTGTGTTGGAAATGGAATTGTCTTCTAGACGGCAAAACTTCATTGACAATGCGACGTCTGGGGGAGACACGATGTTGCTTCAACAAGTCTCCATTGGTCTTTGCAGCATGTCTGGAGTGTCCCCAGAAAGTGTTTATATACTGGCTCACCTTGGTAACCCGTTGGGTCAATACTTCTACTTGATGTCGAGAGGTGTAAGTTTGGGCTGGCATATGATATCAACGCCACGAACCGTTGTAGTCTGCAAATAAGTTATTGCGGCGCCAAATCGGGCAACGAGAACCCGGGCGTCAACACTTTTCTCACATCATGTGTCTCTGGTAAAACAGTCAAGACCAAAGGGTCAGTCTTGTGTCGAGAGTTAGGTCTATGATCACTGAATCCTTCCACCGCGAAGGAGGTTGAGGTTGCAAGCACTGATCTGGGCCGGGGTCAAACTTGAGGCAAGTATCTTACTATTCAACGCTGATGTGTTGCTCATTGCCTAGCTCTATGACAAGGGATCGAAAGGGACAATGCATGGTTGATGAAAAAATGCTGTAATGAAAGAGAAAAAAGACAGGCTATCTAGTTGTTTGAGGATCTAGCATCAGGGAACACCCCAACCTCAATCCCCCACGTCTCCAATGACTCCATCATCGGAAACTGGAAATCTTTTCCATCACCCGCGAGAGCAGCACAGACCCGCCAGCACCATTTTCCTGGCGTAGAATGCGCGCGACCAGGAAAGCAGTCATAGCAGCGACAGGAATCGTAGCGATGACGCTCGCCGTGTTCAGAGTCATGGCCTTCTCCTCCACGGTCTTCTCGTCGCTGTAGAGCCACTCGTGGCCCGAGGAAGGCGGCTTGACACCCTTCAAACTCAGGCCGCCGGCAATCTGGTCGCTGTAGAAGTTGAGCCACTTGGCGAGCGGCAGGAGGGGCGCAACGTATTGTTGCAGCAAGCGGCCCTTCCAGGTATCCCAAGCCGACATGCGCATGGCTTCTTGGCACTGCTCGACCATCAATGCCAACCTCTCCACGCGCTGCTCTTCAACAGTCACGAACGCAGTTTCCAGACTGGACAACTTCCAGCTTGCCGCAGCAGAGACACCCTTGCCGATAATGTTCTGTTCCTGGAGGGCGTTGACCAGCGAGGCGCAGGACTCGATACAGCTATTGCCACCCTGCCCCACGAGCGGGTTGAACTTGTGCGCCGCGTCGCCGAGGATGACGATTCGTCCGTAGTGCCACCGCCGCATCACAAAGTGCGGGAGGGCCGTGACGCCGCTGTACTCGAGGTTCTTCAAAACCTCACGGAACCGCAAGCCGTTGTCGGCGACAAGGGTGTCGACGCTGCGGCCGAACTCGCGCTTCTTATCTTCTTCCGTGAACCGCGGGATCTCATCGATCGGGTACGAACGTTGGCCCTCGGGCAGCGTCCAGAACCAAAAGACAAAGACCTCGCCGCTGGGGCCGCCCATGCAGCCGGCCACCGTGCCGTGGCCGCTGGCGCCGACGACCTGGCCGGGGCCCACGCCGGCCGTGGGCTTGGCGGTGCCGAAGATGCAGGCGTGCTCGCAGGGGATGTTTTGTCTGTCGCGGGCCGGAATGGCGCTGGAGTCGTTGTTGTCGTCCGCGTTCCTCCACATTTCCTGTCTGATTGTGCTGCGGACGCCGTCTGCGCCGATCACTACTTGTCCCTCAAAGACGGAGCCGTCTTTGGTGTAGACCAAGGCGCTGTCCTTGAGACTCTCGACTCTCTTGACCTTTTGGTTGACAAAGATTCTGCTCTTGTCCTTCAAGTGCTCGTACAACACGTTCAAAAGCTCGAAACGCTCCATGAAGATGTTGGGGTAGCCGTGCCGTTTGGTGATGAGGCTCCTCGACCTGCGGGTCATGATGCGCTTGCCGGTGATGCTGTTTCTTACAATATGCTCCTCGACGGGCTGACCTCTGGCGAGAATGTCATCGTAGCATCCGAGTTGATCGAGGATTCGGAGACCGTTGGGGAACAAGCCGATACTAGCTCCAACGTTGGGTGTTACCGTGCCGTAAGCCTCGAGAAGCACATAGTCGACTCCGAGATCTTGTAGCATTAACGCCATCGTCAGGCCCGTGATCCCACCGCCGACGATGATGACCTGGCGCTTCTCATCTTGGACAGCCATGTTTTGATATGTAGGGAACTCAACACTTTGTAGTAGGTAGTCGGAAAGATATAGTTATTCGTTGCTGCTGATGACCAGAATAAAAGTTCCCAATACCGAAAGAGTGGAGGGAAATGGAGCTCTTATATCTCAAGACATCTGCCAAGCTGAGATCTGCGATAGCATCGTGAGCCGGACTTTAGAGCTGTGCGGTCCGTCGTTTTACCGCAAGAATTCGAGAAGGGTATCATTGAAGCGGGAAGCTCATGGGCCCCGGAGATGAATCTTCCCTGGGCCTGCAAGCCGGCGGGAGTGATGCCACGCAGCTAGACCCACCAAGCGCTCACAATAAACTCCATAATAGCCACCGAGTTCGCCACAGATTGATCCGTGACATCGACGTTATCTGATTCATGTAGCGGGGATATCAGCACAGGACACCATGGGCCGTTTTATCACCAGTTCCACTTGTTTCGACGAAAGCCAGCCCGCGGGTTGTCGCATCCGGATACAACCCACCTCAAAGAAGCCGTACTGCAAACTGCGAGTTGAGAGCGCAGCATACCGGCGATGTCGCCGCGGGATGGGTGGTCCTCAACTCTGGCGGCCGAGTTTCTCATCATCGGTCGGCACTAAGACACCCCATAATTTATAGTTCAAGGGCCGTCTGCAGTCCGCTGTTGACCTATCCTTCGCATCCTCCATCTCTGAAGGATGTGGGTTTCGCCCGTGTGAAGCGGGATATATCCGCGATCAAGGCAGGGTTGACGTTTCCCCTGAGATGCGGGTCTTTGAGACTTCGGCCGTGCAGCTTTGCCTCGGACTTAGCGTTCTAGATAAAAATCCGAAAAGCAATTAAAAGTCTCCGAGGACAAGCGCATTCCCACTTTGAAGACTCTTCTGGCAGTTCTTCTTCTGTTACTTACATGAATATAGTTCACGTATCTCAAGCCGATGTTAGGAGTCGCGAAGCAATTCTTCAGCCAATATTATAGACCCTTTAAGTAAGTGCCTCGTTCCGGCAGAGACTCAGGATACTACACCTAATCCCCGAGACAACCACAACTTCGACTCGAATAATGGGAGAAAAGCTGCCTCATTATAACATGAGATGGCACTAACGAAACCTAAAGCAATGCATATGTGTAGCTACGACCGAGTCTGAAGGATGTGTTAGCGTGAGCTTCAAATTCTCATACTTTATATATTAGTCAACAACTCCGTAGACCAATCCTCACAGGGAATCCATCTGCCGGATGTGCCCCGCCCCCGCCCTTTACTGCTTGATACGCCCTATTGCCCTTGACGCTGCGAATACCGGATTTAGGGTGAAGCTTATCCCAGTCTTCGTACGCAGGCTTGATGACAAACTCTCTCACAGTCATGACCAACGCAATTCTCAACTCGAGCATCGCCAAAGTCTGCCCGATACAGTTTCGTGGACCCCACTCAAATGGTCGCCAGGCGCCCTTATGGGGATATAATGGGTCTCCCGGGCCAACGAGCCAACGTTCAGGAATACAAGCATCAGGATCTTTCCAGTACTTGGGGTTGTGATGTATAGCCTGCACAAGAGTCCAGACGTTGCATCCTTCTGTGGGGAGTACGTGGCCGTCCGCGTCGACTATCTGGACGTCGGAACGTCCTTGACGCATAGCACCGGCCGGGGCAAATATGCGCAGAACCTCTTTGATGAACGCCACGGTGTAGGGTATCATGTTAAGAAGTTGAGGGTCTTTGTGAATTTTGTCCTGAACCTGTGATGGATCCGTCCCAAATACGTCGTTATGTTCTGCTATGGTGCGAGATATGATCTCCGGGCTCCGGGAAAGGAGATAATAGCAGTACAACAGGGTGCTGCTAGTCGTATCATGACCTGCAAACAGGAAAAGTCGTACCTGGGGTGTGATGATTTGTTTGATTTTCTGCGTGGTGTCCGGGTTCTCTC